GGTATTTGCCTTGTAGATAATAATAATAGGATTGAAAGGAATTTCCTCTCAAACAATATTTTGTTTCTGCCTGCCAAATATATTTCATGAAGATACTTCATTTGAAAATTAACCCATTTTCAGCCAATGTCTTGTCATGTTGTCACCAAAAAGAAAGGTCAGAAATATTCAATAGTGAGATGTCATGAGGTCTAAAATTAGAGAGCGGATTAGTTGGAGACAAAATCATACACACCTGGCTGAACTACCTATCATGGTTGAACACGCCAATGTTGAGTAGAGTTGGGTCCCAGATGGAGCCTACAGTGAACACTGATGTGTTCAACTGTAATAGGTAATTCAGCCAGATGTGAATGATTTTGTTTCCAGCTCATTTAGACTGCTAAAATTAATAGAAGATCTGGACCAAACAAAATTTTCTCCTGGGCAAAACACAAAAAGGTGGATTGGAGACTATGGCATTATGACAAACTAGGCAAGTACCACTAATAGCCTTAGAAAATCTATTCAAACGATAATAAGTAGGGAGTAACTTTTTTTTGACGTCTAGGAGTAATTGTTTAACACATCTCTAAATGAACAATTTAATGGAAGGGGTGAAATTCGTCAAAGACCAGAGTTCTTTTCATGTCAAATCAGCAAAGAAATAGCTACTAGACGAAATAGATGACTGGGAACTTAATAATTTCATACCGAAAGGAAAGAGAATAATTTCCATGAGGTGTGAGTGTCCAATAAAGTTGATCAGGTAGATCTACACACCTATTTGGTAGTTGTACTTGCAACACCAAGTTAACATAATGTTCTAGTAAGACTAACCATGGTTTTTAAAATCGGACCAGACCAAACGGTTGGACTAGAAGAATTGGGAACTAGTCAGGTGATCAGTTTCATTTTACCATAGAACCATTATTTCCCCAAAAGCCATTGATTTGATCAACAAACCATTGACTTGGGCAGTCGAACCGTTTAAACCGTTCAACGGTTTGGTCAATTTTTTTTTATTTTTTTATTTTTTTGTCAGAATGAGTCATCCATTCAGTTCACTCGGTCTAGTATACAATACCTCAGCTAAGGTGGGATAAAGTTTGGCTAATTGGGAATAATAATCTGTGGAAGGTGACATCTAACTTGTTGGTAAAGTCTTTATTAGGGGTGCACAAATGGGTAGGTTCCACTCGGAACCGAATGGAACTGACTTCGAACTGGCCTTGAACTGACCTACCTAATTTGTTACAGGGTAGGGCCTGGTTCCAAATTCTTGGAACTGACCACCACTCAGGCCAGTTCTAGGGTCTAGGGGTTTACCCTACCCTAACTGACCCGATGAACCGACCTTGGTTGGCCTTGGTGGGACTTGCCTTGGAATTGAATTTGCCTTGAATTAAACCCCAAAATACTTTTAGGATTGTGAAGATTTAACCCAAGCACTCATGGTTGCAAGGCCATGATCTTACACAAACATTTAGTTACTTAATTTATTTGATCATTTGTTTTGATTTTAATATTTGAATGTGTACAATAAGTAATGTAAGAGGTAATAGTAACAAAATTTCAATTTAAATTCTAAGTTTTGACCATACAACGATAATCTACATATTAATTAAGTTACTCAATTTAATGAATAAAGATAATATAAGTTTTAAATTATACATTATATTTATTGAATATCAAGTTTTGAAGGGGGAGTATAGAAAAAATAGTTTCCATGGGTAGACCCTGGAACCAACCCCGGAACCACCAAGGCCAGAACCAACCCGATAACTAACCTTCACAGGGTAGGTTCCGATTCCATGGAACTGAACTGAACCGACCCATGCTCATCTAGGTTAGGGGCAGGCCTAGGGATATGGGCACGGCAATTCTACCTCTGTTGTGTAGCCCATTACAAAAAATGAGCTAGACTAAAGACGAATACTTCCATTGTCATTGAACCGGTGCAACTAGCCATGATGCAGGTCTAGCCGGGCTTTAAATATGTATGGGTCGAGATGGGCTCGGTCTAATCTTTTAGTATCAGGTCCAGGCCTGGCCCTGAAATAACTCCTAGGCATGATGCAAGCCCAAGCTGGGCCTGAACAGAAAACCTAGACACAAGCTTGGAATTTCCAAACTAGGTTAGCCTAAACTGATCATCCACACTCATATCTTGGGTGTACAAAACATGGCTGTAAAAGATAATTAACTTGATGGGCCCTTACTATCTCAAAGCTCTTATGCCATTGATTGGCAATTTCTTATTGAGAAATGTCAACAAAAATTGAAAAACCAGAAAGCTAATTGCTAAGTTCAGATCAGCTACCAACCAACACACTGTGCCAACAATTTCCCAACCCGGACATTGGGAACATCTCCTCCCTCATGAATGACAATGGAGATGTCCATGATGTGAGGCTGCAGTGGGCTATTGGGATAGGGTTGGTAGCAGATCCCTATCCCTAATTGCTTGTCTCATATGGTCCATGAGATACTCATTATTCACTAGATGACTTAGGGTTTCAAGGCCCAATTCATACATGGTGTAATAGGAGGTTTGTTGTAGATTTAGTTTTGGGATGGCTCGATAGAGTGTGTGGATCAGTGGAGTGGGTTACTTCCTTTCCATAGGCTTTTGTATAACGTCTTTAGACCCAAGGCAGTTGTGATCACAAGTCCATTACTTTATAAACCATTAGACCCTTATCTAAACTTCATAGATTGAATTCGAAGCAATTTGGATGGAGACAAGATTCAAGATAATAAACCATTGAAGCCATGCAATTGAACTCTTACACTAAAGAGAATATCACTAGTGGAAAAGTTCGACCACTTTGGAAAAATATTGTAGATAGAATGGGTAGGAAATAAATTGAAAATCTTTGACATTCTTCAATAGGAACATGCATCATCAGTTCAGGACATTGCTCTCTTATTTTGTTCTCTTATTAATTAATTGGTATTGTTGGAAATGAGATTTCTATATGCTCATTCAAAGATAGATGTGATTTTTTTTTACATTCTCTTTTCCAATAAAAGTTATAATTTTCATAAGAAACGTTTTGTAAAATTATGTTTTTATATATAACTGTATATATGGTTTATAGGCACTATTGTAGGGAATCTAAATGATAGTTGAGACTTGTTATGGAAATTTGGATTGCCTAGTCTCTTATAGACCTAAAATATCCTAAGGGTGAGCTTGCACAAATTACTTTAGAGGTTAGCAGATGGATAATTTTCATAGATGGAGTGGTATGATCTAAACCATTGAAGTGAGACTTCTAACTATTATATGGGTGTGATATTGGATACATACAGATATGATCCAATTTAGAGATTGATTCATGGAAGGAATTTTCTGCTATTGCCACTTGTATGGATATTTCTTATGGATTCTCTTTAGTCTTTCAACTTGAAGAATTTTAAGATTGTACATAGGATCATGATTAGCCACTTTGATATACCATGAGGATGGATATTAAACATTTATGGCTATGAAACTGTATGGTGGGTCTCTATTAAGATACTATGGTTTTGTGAATTTCCAATAAGAAGTTTGTACCCTTAAACTAGAGAAGAGCGTTATTGGCAAGTAGTTAATTCAAATCAGGACTCTAGCCAAGAGTGGTAATTAGACTTGGATTATTGAAGAGGAATCCTAATGACACTAAGACTCCTAATATAAGTAAGTCCCTAGGTAATTAAACTTGGTCAAGAGTGTTATTAATAAGTAGTTAATTCAATTCTGGACTTTGGCCAAGAGTTATAATTAAACTTAGACTATAGGAGAGGAATCCTAATGACAATAAGACTCCTAAATAAGTAAGTCCCTAGGTAATATTAGGATGAGTATTGGAGAATCATAGTTGAAACTCAAGCTACCCTATGTCAACACCTGATTTTTACTCGGTCCATCGCTTGAACTCCAATTCACCCTAAACACATGCTCAGACCCTTTTGACTTCTCTAAAACACCCCAAAACCCAAGAAATCCTAACTTTCAGCCCCAAAGCCCTCAAATCCATCGTTAAACTTGCCCGATACCTATCCGATGGCCCTAATTGACCATTACTTACACCTCAACCATTAGATCAGACACATCCACCAGACCCAGGGCCTCCCAAAACACCTACTCGTAGAATTACAGCTTAAGATTCCTCTGTTTACCCCTTCATCGAGTAAAGATTCCATTCCAATGCTTCTAGATAGTCTAAACACCCAGAACTCAGATTCCCTCAATCTTGACACATCCGAACCGATCGAACCACATCATTGAATTCCGGATACATCAAAACACCTGCCCATAAAGTTTTAACCCCATATTCCCCAATTTTCACTTCCATCAAACCAAGACTCCATTCTGAAAACATCTCATTGACCCAAATTCCTACGATCTTGACCCTCTATGACTAATCAGACCTCATCAAATCTTGGACACCCTCAAATACCCACCTGTGAAATTTTAGACCAAAATACCTCCATTTACCCTTCGATCACACCAAGATTACATTTCAAGGTCTTATATTGACCAAATTCCAAGTCTGCCCAATCCAGGGCCAATTGACTCAATCAAACCTCACCAATCACCTCAGATTACCCAGAAACCCTACCTTGTTAATTTTCATCAAAACAGGCCTTGTTTGCCTCTTGATCACACAAATATTCTATTTCGATGCCCTAGATTAGCCGAATCAAACCCTTTCAAGATCTGCCCAATCCAGGCCTAATTGGGCTAATCGAACCAACCAATCACCTTAAACTATCCAAAAACCACACCCTACCCTCATTTACCCTTTCATCTAAAAAGATTCCATCTCGGCTAATCTCGCTAGCCCACACACAATCCCACTCTCTGCGGTTAGACCCATCTCAACCCTCCTTTTTTGACCCAGAACCACACCCACCATTAAACCAGAAACCCGGTATGACCCTGGACCCGGTTTGACCAGTCTTTCAAAGTTGCAAAATACCCTTCTCTCCCTATAAATTAACGGATTTTCATTTCGGAGGAGGCACTATTCATCCCCTTCTCCGCTCGATCCAGCGGCGGAGCGGCGACTACAACTCTCTCCACCTCCGTTCAGATCGTGTTTCATTCTTTCTTTCTCTCTCTTTCTCTCCCTTCTTCTTCTCCTTTCTTCCCCTTCTAGTCTTCCTACCGGCGTTCGTCTCTACCCTGTTCTCTAGTCACGAAGGAGGCATCACAGCGGCAAGATTCCTCCATTTCTGATTGGATTTCCGGTGATTTATCACCGTTTCTTTTATATCTCATCTTATGCTGAAGTTTTTGTCAATCTTCATTGGCGTCGTGGTTCCCCAACCATCCGCCGATCTCCCCTATCTTGCGTTTCCTTCACYGATCGAGCAGAGTTGASTACAGCAAGAAGACTGAAGCTCCCCTCTCGAGTTCAAGCAAGACTTGTGCTGGAATCGTCCCATCTCCTCATCAATCTTTCTGATACAACCTTCAGTCAGTATCGTCGTCTGAAAACAAATCTGTCCGACATAAAGGAATCGATCCTCCATTGCATCGTTTCAACCAGGCTAAATCCGATCTGGGTAAATTCTTTTTTCTCCCATTTTTCTTTATTTCATTTTCTTGTTTATCGTGTTTTATTCTATGATAGAATACCACTCCCCTGTCAGATGTGGGAAATGGCAATGAAGCTATGCAGAACGGTCCCTGTAAACGCTTGACCGATGACAGAAATGGCGGGATTTCCATATAGTGTCGTCCTCTGTTCTTTTCCATGCATTATTATTTTTTATTTATTTTTATTAATGCCGGTGTTGAGCTTGATTCCTCTTCTTTTGTTCTAGTTGTGCTATCTATTATCAGTTGTGTTTATCATGATCGATCTGAGCATGGATTTTTTTTTTGTCGTATTTTGATGGCTGTTGGCTTGTTTAAGCTCATTTTATTCTCGCTATTTCAATTGGGTTGAACGGGGTTTTTCAAATCGGATTAGTCTGAATCATGCTGGGAGATGCTGGTTTTTCTCTGTTGCATGGTACCGGAGGACTAAAAGAATTAATTGGAACCTACCCTTAGCCACAGAATATGAGAGAGAAAATGATATGAAAAATACATTACATATTATTACATATAACAAAGAGAAAAAGGGGGGTAGAAAAGAGAGTTGGGGAGTTGTATGCAAGATTGCTAGGCAAACAAAGCAGGGAGTTTGATGGCTAGAGCTAATGCTATGTTAGGGGAAGATTCAGCAACCTAGAGAGAGGATTAGAAAGAAAAGGGAAGGAAAACCGATTACTGGAAGCAGAGTAGTCTCTCAACAAATCCAGAATAAAAAAATCATAAAAAAATATAAAAATAAAAAGGAAATCAGCAACAAAAATGGCATAAAATAAAAATAAAATAGTGGTGAGTCTAGATATTTTGAGCTGATTTGTGAGTTTAAGAGTTAGTTTGCTTTTGGGTTAAAGTGATGGGATACGGAGGAATTGGAACCGGTTGGGGGGTGGGGGGTAATTAATGAAAAAATGCATAAATAGGATTCAATAAAAATAATAATAATAAAAAAATTAAATGATGGGTAAAATAAAAAAAGGGAAGAATTAACATTGCAAAATAAAGTGGATGTAAAAATTAGAAATATAATAAAAAATAATAATAAAATAAATATAAAAATATAATAATAAATTTGATACAATATATTCTTTTTGTTTGTTCTTGTTTCTTATTCTTATTACTACAATTTGTTTTTTTATGCTTATTTGATATCCCATATGGACCCCACCTATTGGACCTGGGAGAGGGGTGCTTAACTCCTTCCCTCTTCCATCTGAGTCTTACTGGATTGGTTAGCCAGTGCCTTTGGCAATGGAATCACTAATAAATCAAAAGCGCTTTCTGATATAAATCTCAGAGGTCCCATCACCTCTATTTCCATAATTGATGGGTGGCGATTCCATTTTCAGACCAAGCGGCAAAGTGAGTCATTTTTCCAACGCTTACACCCTAATTGCACTAGGACTTTATTATTTGGCCATATGAAGGCCATATGATGATTATGGGAAGAGATCTTGTGGCATTAGGATTTAGGAAAGTTTATAATGTTTGTCGTACAGTGTGATGATTTATTTGGAATCCCTAATGTATCCGATTGATTACTTGCTAACAACTACCTAGTTAGAGTAGAATTCTTGGTCAAATACCATATAATGGTAGTTGGTTGAGATAATGGCTCATTATATGGTCTTTCAAGCAAATTTTGACACTATTGTGCAAAAGAACTGAATTATCATTTTACTTTGCATGTGAGGACAAATGTGATAATTTATAGGACTTTATGATTTAATCGCAATTGTGTTGTTGGTCTTTTTTGTAGTTTTAGGAAGTCTCTCTCATCTTAGCCATAAATTAGAGTGTGTGAATGGAAGATTCCAATCCAAGAGAAGAAATTTAGTATCTTTTGGAAAGCCTGAATCCTTAAGGATGGAAACCCTAAGGGATCTCACACTCCCTCAAAACCCTATTTCTCATGATATATTAGATATTTTAAGAGCTTAGAGAGTAGAATTTCAAGTGTAAAAAGTTATAGGAAAAGAGAGCAGTTTAGCTTCCACTGGAGGAATCAAATTAGCTAAATGGGTTAAGATTTTGTGTTGATTTTTTCATCAAAGAATTTAAATCTAGGAATCAAATTTCATCAAAGAATTCAAAAGTTTAATTGTTGCCGAAGAGTTCGACATTAATGCGGTCGATATTCAGGGAAACTCTCTTCATATTATTGACATCCTGTTAGGGAACTATGACCTTGTTCCCTTACTTTCATCTAGAAAATCCTTTCAAATTCCCAAGTCACTTTTGTTAGGCGTTCAGGAAATGAATGTGCTCTCACATTCTTGTTAAATATGTTGCCAGCCCTTTCTAGTAGTTTACATGGTCTATATTCTTAATTTTTTGACAAGTGTACATAAAGATAAAAGGACAATTCATTGAATTTATCTTTTGGCTCTACTCGAAAGGAAAAACATTAAATTTAAAGACAAAGTTGATACAAAATAAGATAATGGCGTGTAGAGGTGAGAGGTGTGTTTTCAGCCATAGTTAAATCGACCAATCAGACTCGTTCGTGATCTAAAAAACCAAGTGGACCAAACTAGTTGAGTTTATGAATACTCTGTAAATTGATTGGTTGGACTAATCCAATGTTTGATATATTTAACCAGTTGCTTAAACCAATTAGATAGTGTAACTTGGGTAGGTATGGGTTAAATCATATTTGTGCCAAAGCATTAGGAAACGGCTCACTTGGGTTAGATTTGGCGTCACCACCCATCAATTATGGAAATAGAGGTGATGGGACCTTCGGGATTTACATTAGAGAACATTTTTATTTATTAGTAATTTCAAAGACCAAGGCATTAGTTGAACTAGTTCGGGAGAGACTTGGATGGGAGAGAGAAAGGGTTAGACACCCCTCTCCAGTTCTCTGACATATGGTTGTCTTACGAGAGGAATCTTGGATCAAGGTTTTTAAAATTGGACCGGACAAGGGGCTGTTCTGGGGTTTGGTTTCCTAGGTTGAATGGTCTGACTGTTTGGACCAAAAGGATGTCCTGGGTCAGCGGTTTGTTGACAAAATCAGCGGTTTTTATCCAAAAAGTGGTTTTATGGTGAAATGGAACCGAATAAGTGACTGGTTCCCAATTTTTTTCAGTCTGATTATCCGATCTAGTCTGGTATTGAAAACATTGTCTTGGATAGAGTCAAGGAAAGAGAGGGGGAGAGGAAAGAGAGAGATGAAGAGGATAAATGGAAAAGTAATATCTCTCTCGGAGAGGCGGACGGAGAGTTCAAGTTCGAAGTTCTGCTGAGCCGTAGGAAATTAAGAAGGTTGATAGACTTTTATGTATATGAGTCGGTAAAGGCAAACTTGAAGCAAAGAGAGCAAAAGCGATAAGAGGCAGAGGAAGGGATGAGAGAGGCCGGGTGTGGAGTTAGTTTTCTCAGATAGTTAGGGATTAGAGATAGTTTTCTTAGAGCCTGTGTTGTTGGTGGGTTGAGGTTTTTAGGATTCGGAGGCGTAAAATTCTCTTTTGCACGCTAGGTGTTTGTTTCTTTTTTTGGCATTTTTCAATTTGCCAATGTGTCTTTTACCTCCTTTTTGTTTTACAATAAATTTTTATTTTATTTATCAAAATAATATATATTTTTTTTTCAATTAATTAGAGAACAAATTTCATTTGCACCTGAATAAATGTATGGGATTGCAAATAGGTTGAGCGTAAATTCTGGTTTACTTTTGCTTATGATTTAATTGTCATTTGTTTGTGAGACATAAAATAGGTTAAGTAGTAAATTGATATGGTTCCCACTTTCTACGGAAAAATAGGTTAAGATCAAAGAGGATTCTTTGTTTAGGCTGCGTTTGGTTGCAATGCAAATGCAAATATGTCATTGCATATTTACCCTTTTATCAGTTCATGAATTTAAACACGACTCACATTTTAAACCATTTTTGCATTCATCTTATTTGTTTGAAATCGGTACAAAGTGTGGGCACACAATTAAATGCTTTAACTATATTATGCTCCAATGCCTTAACTTTGCTCAAAAAGTAAATTATCAAAGAACACAAAATTGTATCCAAAAAATAAGTACAAGAATGCTCTCTTCTTAGAGTATAAAAGTGTCCAAAAATACATTTTTGATCTAATAATCATTACTTTTTTACACATCAAACAAACACGAACCAGGGTACATAAATAGCCCGGTTCAGCGTTTGTATCGCAAACAAATAGAGCCTTATGAGTGAAGTAGGAAGCAAGGTGGTTTGGTTCCCACTTTTTATGAAAAAGAATTGAGACAAGGGGAAAGCAATACCAATTTTGCATCAGTTTTTGGATGCAAAATTTGTATTTTTAGTGAACAAAAAATTGACAAAAGGTATTCCGGGATCTGCTATCCACTAATTGTTCTCACATCCATACCCACGAAACACCACGGTTGTGTATTGGGAACAACTCGTGTGTAACAAATCCGAGTGCAAATAGTACAGATTTTGTGTCAGACAGGAGTGCAAATCATAATTCCATATAAATGCAAAACTGAACCAGGGGTGCAAAATTTGTATTCATTCAGTTTTTATTTCTTATTTTTTTTTCATTGCTACTACTTTGTTTGTTCAGTTTTCTTTAAAATATCTAACTCTACAAATTATCATCGTGTAAGTGAAATAAGCATCCAATGTAAATTGACCTGACAAGATATGAAAGTTGAGATTCATGAATCGAACGTTGTGCCTAGTAAGTATCTCCAAGAAAGAACAAATTAAAATTTCTACTGATGAGGAAAAAAGATTAACATGAATTAGATTTCTGTATATGGAACTCCGTAACATTATCTAATTAAATACAATTTTCATTGATCAATATTTGTTACAAAATTCTAGAATCAGATTGTACAAAAAAAAAAAAAACTCCAAATCAGGCATTCAAAGAGAAAAGGCTATTGGCATGGAGATTGTAGAAGTCATTAAAACTATACCATTTTTTTTCTGTACTTAACCACCCTCTATTGCCCAACCTTCAAATCGTAGACACAGAAGTAGTGTTTTTCACTTCTATGAAAAACAATAACTTCTCCATTTCTCACGGTGGTGATAACATGATACAAACATCGTCGGACCTCCCAAGGCATGTCGATGCTGAATTCTTTAATCCAATCTCCTGTATGAAAATCCTTCAGAACCCACATGTCTATATGTCCATAGGGATCTCGATCAAGAAATGACAAATACCCTCCTTTCTCTATTAGCTATACCTGTGTGTACAAACGTTGATGAGGGAGTTTCACCACATGGAATTTTTCTTCCATAAGATCCA